GATCAGCAAAATGTTACTTTCCACTAGAACCACTAACAAGGCTAAAGGTAGTTTCCACAGATCTCATAGTGACAGTGATAAAAAAGCATTGAAAAGTGCAGTCAGAGGGTAATAAAACCCTTAAACAAGAAGTTGGGAATAACCTACAGTAATGTGAGACCAACTACAAAAGCAAGAATTAGAACCCATACCAGTCGAAAAATCTACGTGGTTACAAAAATAAGGCTAAAAATAGTTCATCTTTATTAGACAACAACTAACTTTTTAAAACTCCAATATACACAAAAATAAGGAGTTCCACTCTAATAGTGCACAAGTGTAAGTGTACTAAAAATAATGAAATATTCTAAAAACCTCTGCCCAAAATGTCCAAATCTTATACAGGGGGATAGAGCATACCCTTATGTAACGGACCGTTTTGCACACAAGGGGTAAAAACCGTTTAGGCGATCGGCCCCCTTTCCAGAGATACAGGCACAGCTACTGCAGAACACCAAAACTCACAAACTGGATACAAAATAGCACTCCAACTCCCGAACTGGAACCTCCCAAATAGCTGCTAGCAGACGAACAGGAAAAACAGACAATCAGCTTACACTCCTGGCAATCAGTCTCTAACAGCATACAGTGAATCCCCCCAAGAACGAGACAAGGCTCCGTGTTGAGGGTCAAGCAGTGGTCTGTTTAATGAGGGCTACCTGCCCAGCTTTTATGCAGGTCTCCCACCTGGTGGACACTCCCCTAGGGGACCAAATGGGAGACTGTGACAAGGGACAGACAAGTATACAAAAAGGACGCACAGTCACAGTATATTCCCACAATGCATCCTGGCTTCCTCCCCTCTGCCCTGGGAGATAATTGGGAAGTAACTCAATTATCTCCCAAGACAAAGGCAAAACTCCATTACACACGTGGGAACACAAAACCAGCATAACACTTTAAAATGCACAAAGTAACATTTACTACCTAAACCACAGACATGTAACATATCCCCAGATAGCTCAGGTCTGAGTGCGCATTATTAGGTGAATGGCACTCAGACTACACGAATACAGTTCAATCGCCATGGAGCCAAAGTCTTTACAGTCAGTTTCATACGAATGGGCTCCATGGGATTCCTATCTGGGGTATAAGATATTCACACAAAAATACCGAACACCGGGTCATTCGTGTGCTTTCACCGAACAAGAAGGGAGGTCGGCGGCCTCAGCGGTGTTCGCGCAAAACTGTGTCCGATTTTAGTTCCATAAAAATAGAGGCGAACACCGCTGTTCATTCGTATTGTTTAAAATGGCCGCGACCTCGTGTTCGGGATACGAACGGCGGCCACCCAGCGTTCATCAATTAAGCTGCGGTTAACCGCAGCTTCAGGGAGGTTAATTGCCGGCACACTCCAGCTCCCAGGTGGTCCAGTCATTCGTACGGTTGTTCGGTAGATTGAAACTACCGAACAACCGGCAGAAAAGCACGAATACAGCTTTTCTGCATGCAAAATAAAGTCTTTTAAAAGAGGGCCATAGTCCAAAGGCAGCAGGCGAGCAACCAGGCTTCTCCAATGCAATGTGGCGAGATTGGTCTCGTCACATCTCTCCCCTTTTCCAAACAGACTAACAGGTTATCTGACCTCCTGCCGGTCAGTGCCCTTGTTAGTCCAGCAGCCCACCCACAACAAATAATAAACAGCACAGCCCACCCACAA